TTTTCTCTTGTGGACAATATGTAAACATATTTTATGTGAAATATCTTATTCAGGTCAGTACCAAATAAACAATAACATGCATTTTGTATGATCCCTCTTATTTTGGTTCAATAATTAACATTTTGCACATTCTGCAGGGGGATGTTAACTTTTGACCTCAACTGTATATTTTCAGATTGTTTATTTGCAGTTACATCCTTAAACAGACACAGATCCTCAGTGAATCAACGAGTCATATTACATTCGCAGAGCATGGTCAACATTACTAATTTATAATTACAGATAAAAAAAACTCACCTTCCTCACATCCTTTGTGTTTCTTAGCAGGAATTCATGGAAGGACTGCAGGCAGCTGCGGTAACTCAAATTGGCGGCAACTTCTCTGTATTTGGCAGTCTTTGCTGTGCACCACCCCTCCCCCAACGTATAACTTAAAATAATAAAAAACAAATAATCAAAACCCCCAGTATTTTAATCTTTTCACATTCTTTCTTACCTGCCTCACAGTCACACTGATGGCCCGTTAGGGGAGGCCCTTTGTCTCTCAGGTGTGAATCAGAGATATTCATGGCCATTGTCTCTCCTTCACATACAGCCTTTTTAACACAAATCATGTCTTACAAAAAGTAAATCAATAGATTGTTTTCTGTGAATGAGTGAACAGGGTGATTTTCACATCATTTTGTAGTAAAAACTCTAGTCTACCACATCCAGTTCTCAAAAGTCTTGTGAACAACTGTTCTGTATGTGTTTTATGGCCTTATTCCAAAGACACATAAACTTTTTTTTTAAAGCACAAACTTGAATTACAGTGAATACAGTCTTTAACCATTAAGATGTTTCTGAGAAAAGCACCAATGTCAGGGCAAGTCTAAACTTCTCCAGATCTCAGAGGGTTAATGTTATGCTGCCTGGTTATTAGCTAGCAGCTCAAATTACAAATAGTTTGAGTTGCATAAATTGTTGTGTGCTGGGTTATTTTGTCAGTTAAAAAACTCCCTGTGTGTTAATAATAGTTATAAAAGTTCAGTAACCATTAGTCAGAAGTGTATGCAGTTAACAATTCATAATGTTGTCTACATTGTGCAGCCACTTGTATGCAGGTATATGACTCTTTTTCTTTTTCTTTTTATTCACACCATGTGCGTAATTTAAACCTTTTGCTTGTTCTTAAAGGCTGAATTATTCCAAATGAACTAATTTTGACAAGAAAATACAACAAACAACATAGAAGTAGCGCGTCAATTTTATGTGGTAAAAGACTTGCTTTTTCTCTCTTACCTGTGAGGGAATAAAGAGTGATCTCAGCAGAGAGACAGTGAGTCTGGGGTTTTAAATGCATAGATTGTGTGAATGGCCACATATGTGAGTGCAGTGTTACTGAATTAATGTTTTACATTGATGTGCAGTGATCTTTGTGTCTATGCTGTTATATAATGATTTACAAAGAGACAACACTTAGGCTATGGTCTCTTCAAAGATTGAAGTTGGAGGTGAAGTTGTATATTAGTGAAAAACACAAACTCAGTAACTGATTTATTGTTGATTTTGCCAGATCTGCTTCAACCACACAGAAACATTCAGTGAAGCTCCTCCCACAACAGCCACACCTTCAGTGAAGCTCCTCCCACTGCAGTTCATCAATAAATGCTGGAATATTTCCATCAGTCTACAAGTGAAGACGAGCATCAAAGTATCAGGAAGAAGTGAAATCTGCAGAGACAGAGTTTATTGAAGGACAGAGAGAACATGAGAGATCCAGAACCCTGCAGAATGAAACACACTGAAGAACAAACAGGTTGGTGTTTATTCTTCATCCTTCATCAATGAGGCTGAAGAACAGTAAGAATATAAAGCTTCAAGCAGTTTTAGATTTGTTGCAGTAGGATAAATTGTAAAAGCTGTGCAATAATTTAGCTGAAGCAGCAAATGACAAAGGCACTTTTTATAAACTGGGTACATTTTGATTTATTTATTTTTCAACATAATTCATTTATGTTAGATAATTGTGTAGTTGATCAAGCATATTTATTGTCACTACAGAAACATATCACTAAATTGTGCCTCTATTGTTTAAAAATGTAAGTAATAGTTACAATAATACATATAATAATAATACAGCAGGGTTCACATTCATGTCCTTAATTCCACATTTCTTTCTTTCACATTTCAGTTTTTTAACAATTTACAGAATTTTTTTTTTTTTTTTACTTTTATTTCAGAGTTGATTGAAGAAAATGAGGAGAATGAAGAACTGAATGAAGAGGAGAAACATCACGTCAAAACTGGAGAAAAACCTTTGAGTCGCTCTCAAACCAAAGAGAAAGATTTAAAGAAAAGAAGAGCCAAGAAATCTTTCACCTGCACTCAGTGTGGTAAGAGTTTGACAAACAAACAGAGTTTCGAGATTCACATGAGGATCCACACTGGAGAGAAACCATTCACTTGTGATCAGTGTGGGAAGAGTTTCACACAATCATCAAACCTTAAGAAACACATGATCATCCACACTGGAGAGAAAGTGCATGAATGTGATCAATGTGGAAAAACATTTTTGTGGGCCTCAGCACTGAAGGATCACCTGAAAGTTCATACGAAGGAGAAACCACATTCATGTTCTTTGTGTGGAAAGAGGTTTTCACTGCTGCAGAATTTAAAAGTTCATCAGAAGATACACATTGGTGTGAGAGATCATATGTGCTTTGAGTGTGAGAAGACTTTTATTAGAGCTGATCAATTGAAACTGCACCTGAGGATTCACACTGGAGAGAAACCTTACAAGTGTTCACACTGCGACAAGAGATTTAGTCGGTTTGAAACCCTGAAAACACACGAGAGGATCCACACTGGAGAGAAACCTTACACATGTGATCAGTGCGGGAAGAGTTTTAGACAATCGCAAAGACTTAAGCAACACAAACATAAACACTAGAGAGAAACTTCATGAATATGATCAATGCGGAAAGAGTTTCACGTACAAACAGGGTCTCAAGATTCACATGAAGATCCACACTGGAGAGAAACCATACACATGTGATCAGTGTGAGAAGAGTTTCAGACAATCATCAAACCTTAAGAGACACATGATCATCCACACTGGAGAGAAACCTTACAGCTTCATCTGTCAGATTCAGATCAACTCAAAGATGGAGTTCCTCTTCAAAGAACAATATCCAAAAGCTTTATTCTTGTCATTTTACTTCATGAGTTTAATTATATCATTGTGTTTTCTTATGAGTTTCATTCATCACTTGTAGTTTGTTCAGACTTTTATGAAGGAAAGTAGTGTTATTGTTTTTTTTACATGTGCAAAATGTTCTTGTTCTGGAAACTGAAAAAGTAACATTGTTGAACTGACATTTACTTTTTTATCCTGTTTTTTTTTTTATCAAATAGATATTCTTCCATTTATAATGTATGTAGAAAATCCATCAATATACTGTAGAACTGCATGGTTCTGGGATGGGTACCAGAACCAGGTATAATCTGTTTGAAATTAAGAAAAAACATTTTATTTAATAAATTATTTGTGATTTTTGAGTTGGGCTTCCAATGATAATGAAAAGAAGATATTTGAGGTAAAGTGATTATCGTGCTGCTTTCCGTCTACCTTTCCTTCACAGAGCTTTTGTTCTTCTCTTAAAGTCCAAACATAACATCGTAGATCTCAGAGTGAATCAGACCGTGATAACGTGACCAGAACTGAAACTGACCAAGAAGCTGATTTACACGGGAGGCCCCGAGTCCACATTTAGGACCTTAAAATCAGAGATTCTGTCACGTGACGCCAGCGAGTCTGAGACTGATTTTACATTAGATTCATTCATTCAGTTTCTTTTGTAGGCTATTATTTACCTGAATAGTAGTCAGTGAGGAGAGATCAATCAAGTTAGTTTTCACTTTTACAAATTTTTTGTATTTGCTTTGAGTATAGCTTATCATTGAGTAAACATTACCTTTTTATTAATACCTTATCTTTATAACTTTTATCAACAAATTTTATTTTCTACTGACTGTATTTGCATCAGAATTAAAAGTATATATTTTTCATCTATATCTGAAAGCCATTAAGTCTTATGTTTGGATTTTGGACTTTCTGTTTTAAATTTCTGTTTTAAGTGCCTAATAAACTATTTCACCCCAAACCTTACTGAGCCAGAATAGCTGGCTGTCTACATCAGTATTGTAACTGTTTGCCCTTATTTTTCCGTGATGTCTTAGAGATGTTTTTTTTTTCATTTTAATTTAAATATGATATATAATATATATAACTTTTTTAATGATCTACAGTTGATTTCGCCTCGCGACGCTGGTTTCGGCGCTCGCTGGACATGAGGAAGGTGGGAGGCAACGGCTGGACTGTGACTGGGCAGGAGATGGCAGAAGGAAGTGATGAGTCAGGAAGTGAGATGGGATTTAAAGAAGATGGCGGGGGAGATAATAGTGTATGGAATGTAGTACAATCGAGAAAATGGAAAAAACAGATTATGGATGAAACTGACATTGAGCAGTGTTATTGTAACAACAAGGCAGGAAGAGGAACATAAAGTGATTGTAAAATTATATGAAGAAGGGACGACGTTTGATAAGTGGAACCTGGTTAAATTAACAAAAGCAATAAATAAATTGCTGGGTGAGATAAAAAAATGCTAAAGTATTGAGGAACGGATCACTGTTGATTGTTTGTAGAAATAAAGTGCAGCAAGAAAAAGCCTTACGACTGAATAAAATAGATAGTAAGAGAGTGCAGTGTTCGTTATTTGAGTACAAAAAATGGATTCGAGGAGTCATCTCAGGGATACCTACAGATATTTCAGAAGAACAAATGAAAGATAATATGACAGGGGCAAAAGTTTTGGAGGTAAAGCGCCTTACAACAACTAGAAATGGAGAGAAATGCAACATCTTGTCTGTTATGATTAAGTTTGATGAATGGCAAGGTGTACATTGGATACATGAGCTATGAGGTCAGGCCATATATTCCTCCACCACTGAGGTGCTTTAAGTGCCAGAAATATGGTCATGTAGCAGCAATATGTAAGGGCAAACAAAGATGTGGCAGATGTGCAGGTGAACATGAGTACGGAACGTGTGGAGAGGGAGAAGAACTTAAGTGCTGCAACTGTGGAGGACAACACAGCTCGGCTTACCGCGGATGCGAAGCCAGCAAGAGGGCAGTGGAGGTGCAACCAATGAAGGCATTACAAGGAATAAAATGCAGAAGCAGTAAAGAAAGTGTCTAGAGAAAAGATTGTTTATAAACCAGCAAATGATGAAAATAAAGAAGCAAACAATGAAATTAAAGATAGACCTTGCAGGAGCTGTGAAAAGATTATGGCAAAAAAAGACGTGTTAATTATGAGCAAAAATTAATTTGTATTATTCATGATTGAGGTGATCAATTGCTCGGCAGAGTCAGAAAGGAAGACTGGAAAGATCAAAATAATAGTTAAAGCAGCAGAGAAATATCTTGGGGTTAAAGAACTTAGTTGTGAAGTAGTGGAAGAAATGTTAACTGCAGGAATCTCTAACTCTCCGTCATGGGTTGGTGGATCTACATGATTCTAGTTTTATTGCAGTGGAATGCCAGGAGTCTCATCGCTAATGGACAAGAATTCAAAAAGTTTGTTTCTGAGTTATCAGATAAACCTCATGTAATGTGTGTACAGGAGACATGGTTGAAACCACAGTTAGATTTTGTGATATCTGGATATACTGCAGTCCGAAATGATCAACCCAGTCTCATAAAAATACGTACCTCTGGGTACATTTCTGCAGCACCATTTTTACGTACCTTACTGCACGTTTTGCCGCAGTTTCAAAGAGAAATGGCCACTGAGTGGCGCTAAAACACGGGTTCAATACGTGAACCCTGGCATGTTTTTATTACGTTGATATAGGTTCGTATTGCTGTGTTTTTATTACGTTGCTTCAGGTACGTATTGCGGCGGTTCACAATTCAAATATCCGGGGACTGTCGCTAAAATAATGCTCTATCGTGTTGGAAATATGCCCTACACCAAACCCAACCCTAAACCTACCCGATAGTGTTAACAAATGCAAAACTGATATAAAAACGCATTTGTTGATGCAACCGTGCCATTTAAACGTCCTTATATGCAGATTTGAACTGTTTTGTCGAACCGCAGTTACACAGGATTCGAACCAGAGCTCCTCACCTGTCAAGCACTACTCCGTGAGCTACGAACAAACCTATCGTCTATGAAACCCCATTGATATGAAGCTGTATATGTGCGATGCTAAAGTCCAAAAGCATCGGTTTTCAAATCTCCCAGCATATTAAAATAGTTTTGAAGTCATAACATAATATTCTTCAAGTAATTGTGCGAAAATTACGCTTTATTAATCGAAACTGTAAATGTGTGTGAAAAGGAATAAAAGGTGTCTGCGTTTTACTGCCTCTAGTGTTCATTTCTTTTGGAAACTGCAGTGATATGTACTTACTGGTACGTATTTCGGTGGAGGGGTGGCAACTTTTATAAGAAATGGGATAAGATATAATCTAATCAATAAAGGAAAAGAACATGAATCTATTATAGTCAAAGTACGGACAGGAAGAAATAGTATAATGATAGTAAATTTTTATAATCCATGCAACAGACTGAGCATGGATATACTAAATGCAGTACGTGAGATGATACAAGGGGAAATAGTATGGTGTGGGGATTTTAATGCACACAGTACACTATGGGGGAGTAGGATTACAGATGCAAATGGGTCAATAATAGAAGAATTTATAAATAATAAAAATCTGGTATGTATTAATGACGGAAAGGGCACAAGGTATTGAAAGGAGTGAAATTATTTCCTTATAAAATAAATTATTTGTGAAGCCAAACACTCTCGCAATGCAAATGTCATGCCACAAAACAATGGGCTTTGATCAAGATAGGAAGATCTGGAAGAAAAACCATCTGCTTTTCACCCATCCTTCCCCCCTGGGCACATGGTCCAGGTCACTAAAAGTTGGCAGAGAAATGCCAAGAACTCAAGTTGCTATGCTCACATAAATCATTTACTATATCGTCAGGATTCATGATCGTAAACTTTTCACGTTTGGTGTCATTTTAAAGGTCTTTGTGCAATTGGTAAATTGGTTTCAATTTCACAGTAGTCATTTATATTATGAGAAAGATTCAAAACCTTTGTAGAACTATGTTCTGCTGAGGAGGGGGTGTGTCCCCCTTTAGGCCTGTGGGAATGTTTATCTACCTCCAGCCAGGTGCAACCCTGGAGCACGGGAACCTAAAAGACCAAAAGGTCTTTTATGTTTTTACAACTGATTTAAAGATTTCTTTGTTTTTGTTCTGGTAGTATTTAAGGGACTGTTGCAAATCAGTCTGGGGATTCTGTAGTCAGAAAAACCCCCATGCAGTGTGTGAGAGTCTCTGGCGCTCTGCACCACAACTCTCACTGCTGTCAGATACGATTCAAAAATTTAATTGTGTTAAACACATTGTACCCATAGAGCACACTGTATAGTTGTTTGTGCTACTACATGTGCACATAGGCTAGTTTAGTTTATTCTTTAAAAACACTTGATTACTTTGCTGTAAGTGTTCTTTGAAATACTTAGGTAAAAGGTTGTTGATGCTATCTGTTACGGGGCTGACGAGACGTGAGACGTGCGGATCCATATGCAAGCTTTATTGAAACGAAGACAGAGACGTGGTCATGAAACAGGCATGGGTCAGATACAGGCAGACAGGTATATGGAGGGCAAAACACAAGAATAATCCTAGGGCTAGCGCAGGTCGACGATCGGCAGACAGAATCAAAAGGAGCAAGACAAAAGGGGTGAATCCAGGGAACCAGGCGAAGATCAGAAACCGAGAAGGCTAAGGCTAAGGCTAAAGGCAAATGACTAGAGCTAAGGCTAAGGCTAAGGCAAATGACTAAGGCTAAGGCTAA